CCGCTGCCAGCTGCAATATTAATTGCGGGGCCGCCGCTGCCCGCGCGGGCAGGTGCCCGGCAGATGCTCGGTGCTGCCGTGGCCGGCGGCCCCGCAAGGGTGCGGAGCCCCAGACACCATCTGCGAGGCCGGTCCCACGCCCGGCCTGGCCTTTTTATGCAAAGGGAGAATTAATTAGATTTGAATATGGTAATTAAGCCACCGTCTCCCCTCCCCCTTGCCTCTCGTGGCTGGGGCTCTTAGGTTGCCTTTTCTTTGGGTTTTCTTCCCGCTGTCCCTTATCCCATCACACATATCTATAGCCACATAGAGATACACACACGTGTATATATATATTTATACATTTCAATGGCCTCGCGAAGCAGAAGGCAGAAAGGTGAGATACAGGCTCCCCAGAAAAGCCCCCAGCAATTTCCCAGATGAGTTTCTTCTAAGAAGCCTTGCAATGGCAAAAGGGTCATCTGAGCATGATGCTTAATTGCTTGGGCAGCTGCTTTCCATCTAAAACAGGGGGGAAAAAAGCCCTAGATTTTACTTATTTTACTTATTTTACTTATTTTACTTATTTTACTTAATTTACTTATTTTCCTTTTTTATATATATATACACATATGTGTATACATGTTTGTTTGGTACATATGTATGTGTATTTATATAATGTGTGTAAGCGAATCGCGGCGAGGAGGAGGCGGCTGCAGCCCCTGCTCTCCCCAAGGGCAGACCCATCGGGACATAGACGGGCTCCAAAGGCAGCCGCTCGCCCCGTCACCCGGCTCCCGTGTCCTTCCCGGCCGCCCGCAATGGGAATTTGCATCCAGCCTCCTTGCACCCGGCCTCTGGTTTCTGCAGTGTTTCCCTGTGTGCATCCTCGGGAAGGGGAATGGCCATAAATCCACTGCTGGGGATCCGTGCAAGCAGCTGCACGGATGCAGCACACAGGATCCAAYGGCCCCACGGGATGTTTCCCCCATGGATTTGCAGCCTTCCCAGGCTGTTTCTTCCCCTCGTCTTCCAGCCTGATGAACCGGAGGCTGCCCAGTGCCCGCCGTGCCCCAGGCTCGGGGGTATCACAAGGCTGCAGCGGCCCCTTCACCCCACAGCCCCCGGATCAGCTCCCTGCAGCTTTMCCAAAGAGCTCCGCTGAGGCCGGCACAGCAGCCAGGAAATGCAGCTTCTGTAGGATCCAGGGCAGCAAGGATGCGTTTTTCCATTGGAAAAGCAACTCATGCTCCCAAGGAATTTCGTGGCATTCCTTCCCCATGAGCTCCCGTTCTTGCATTCGGCTCCGCTCTCTTGCAGCTCCCGTATCCCTGTGCTCGGAGGCGGCGGGAGCTGCTGTGCAGCCTCCTGCTTTAGGACCTTTTCCTATCCATAGGCAACGCCGGAGCACCGCTTGTTTCCATGGCAAAGAGCCGAGCTCGGTGCTCCRAGCCCCGATTCTGCCGATATCCCCCCTGTGCCGCCCCTACCCCATGGGGAAAAGGGTTTAATTCCCATAGATTGGCCCTGGGATCCTATAGATGGGGATCCCAGGGTCCCGGGGCCAGAGGGAGCAGCGCTGAGTGTCTTTGGGATCGTTTCTGCTCCGGGTGCCAGGGAATGGCCCAAGGGCCCTGGGGTCCGGTCGCATTGCGTGCCATGGGGATGCATTTAGCAGGAGCTGGCTGCGTCCCACAGGATTCCTGCATTCCTGATCCAGACGTTGTTTGGCACAGGGCTGAGCTGTGCCAGGGACCTCTTGGAGGGGATAAAGGTGGAGAAATGGGAGAAACGAACCTGGGAGCAAGGCCCGGGCACAGCACCGAGCAGCCCTGGGCAGAGGCAAAACTCATCCCTATGGAAATTTATTTAAATGAATTCCTGCCTGGCCACTCAAGCTGTTCCCAGCCCCGCTTTTCCCAGGGAAAGGAGATTTTCTCTGCACAGGGCGGCCCTGCAGGATGCACGGGGGGGTTCGGCCATGCCGTGCGGTCCTGGCTCGTCCCTGCCCTTCGTGTCCCCTGCCACCCCTCACCTGCCCTTTCCAAGGATTCCAGGGAAATGCCGGCACCTGAGCACATGCTGATCCCAAATTTCCTCCCGCTTTCTAGCAATAGCCATTGCATCCCATTAAAATATCCCTCCCCAGCCTGCAGAGCTCTATCCCACAGCACACGTGCCRAGGCCTCACTCGTTTCTCCTCTTGGCAGGTGGCATGAGCCGAATCCCAGCGGATCCAGCACCTCCCTGGCTTGCTTGGCCCTTTCCGAGGAAGCCMTGGTGCGGATGCACCACCCAAGTGCCTCTGGTTGCTGCCTCCCACTTGCTGCTACCCTCGTTTTTCTGCTTTTAATAAAATTTCAAGCTGTGAATTCAGTGCAGAGCAGCCGGATCTTGGGCCGGAGCTCCGGGTGCCTCCGGTGTCGCTGTCCCTCCTTCCCCAGCATCTCTCTGGGCTCGCTCGTCTCTCCCGGCTCCCACGGGTCCATTCAGCTCCATTTGCATCCTTGGCTTTGACTCCCAGTGGGAAGGACTGAGCACACAGGGACACTCCATGGAGCATCAGGGCACCTCATGAATGGGGAAAACTTAGAGCATCCCGATATATCCAGAGCTTCCCAGCTCTCCTGCAGCATCGGGGCCCTGGATGGAGGGAGCAGCAGCTCCCGCATCCCATGGGACCAGGAGCTCCCTTTGCAGCAGCCCCGGGTGCTGCAGCATCCAAGGGCGGGCAGATCCGCATCCTCCAGCCCCGCGCCCGCCCGGATGCCTGAGCACGATCCTAAGATCCTAAGCCGGAGGCTGCGGGGCCGGCGGGAACGTGGCAGTTTGTTATGCTAACCGAGGGGGGCTGCATTCAAGGGACATGTCGGAGAGGTCTGAAGAGCAAGGAGTTCACAGGCCCTCTGCCTTTGTCATGCTAAAAGTGCAACGCACAAAATATATACAGGCAGCTGCTCAATGGGCTGTGAAATAGGAGCGATTTCCCCGGCAGCGCCGGGATGCGAGGCCGCCCGCACAATGCCCGGCGCCGCCTTTGTGCCCGGTGGGAAAACTGCTCCGGGGGGGAACGGGCCGCCAGGTGCAGGCGCGGGGTCGGCCCGTGGGCTGGGGTGGCCAGCACTGGGATACGGCCGGCATCGGGATACGGCTGGGATTGGGATACGGCCAGGATTGGGATACGGTCAGGATCGGGAAATGGCCAGCACCGGGATACGACTGGCACCCGGATACGGCCGGGATTGGGATACGGCCAGGATTGGGATACGGCCGGGATCGGGATATGGCCGGGATTGGGATATGGCCAGGAATGGGATACAGCCGGGATCGGGATACTGCCGAGATTGGGATACGGCCGGGATAGGGATACGGCCAGGATTGGGATACGGCCAGCATTGCGATACGACCGGGATTGGCACCGCCGGCTCCGGCACCGCCGGGGCAGCCGCCCTTCGGGGCAGGTTTGTGGATGCTCCTTTGGGAAGGGTTGGGGCGGGGATTGAATCCTCAAAGGCATTTTGGTGTCCCCAGGGTGGGGGCAGCTTGGATGGTGTTTCCTGCATCCGTCTTCCTGCTTTTTCTCTTGTTGTGGTGGTGGCGGAGCTGGAAGCTGCTTCTGCTGGGGGTTCTGGAGGTCTCCAGGGCCTCCCGCTCATCCCTTGGCTGCAAAGAAAGGGCCGGAGACACCAGGGGGTCCTGTGAGGCCAGAGGAGAGGCAGGAATGGGAAGTTTGGGGGCAGCAGCGGATTCAAGGAGCAAGATGCTGCAGTGCCGGGACCCGAGAAATGTGAAGAGCTGGGGATGATCCCGCCCGGCACCCCCAGGGTGACCCCAGGGCATCGCGTCCTGCCCCGGCACAGGCCGAAGCGACATCTAGCGGGAAGCATCCCAGCGAGGGAGAGCGATATCCATGGCAACGCCGCCGCTTCGGGCGGCACTCGCAGCAGCAGCTGGGAAGGACCCAGCACCTGAGTCTGGGGATRCCCCGGGCCAGGCGAGGCGATGGATCCATCGGGATGCTCCGCACAGGGCAGCCTGCCCATGGGCAGGGCCAAAGGGGCCACCGAGCTGCAGGTATGCGCCCACATGGGTGCACGCATGGGCACGAGGGTGCTCTGTGCATCTTCCGTATAGGTATTTGCACAGTTCCTAGGTGCATATAGAAATGCATCGATATGTACATGTCTATATGTCCAAGCCATCATTTAGGGACATAAATCATCATTTAGGGGCCGCCGGGGCTCGAACCCGGGACACGCGGGGCTCGCGTGGGGACTACAGCTCCCAGGAGACAGCGCGCGTGGAACCCGCTCTCCCCCTCCCTCCCGAGACCCCCCCTCGCCATTGGCCACGTATCTATCAATCACATGCAGAGCGGCGGCGGATTGGCCAGAAGCTCGGCGGCGGGTGGGCTTCCTGCGGCCGCCGTCGGGGTGCCCGGCATGGTGAGCGCGGGCCGGGGGTGCCCGGCCGGGGGTCCCCGGGGCTGGGAGCAGGGCTGGGGGCGCCAGCCCGGGCCGTCCCCGGTGCGGTGCGTGTCTAGGGGGCCGTGCACGGCCGGAGCCGGCTGCATTGCAAGGGGCCGTCCCCGCGGGGTGCTTAGGGCTGCCAGCCCCGCTTGCTCCCGTGGGGTGCAAGCCCGGGCTGTGTTCAGCGGGTGCATGCCCGAAGGGTGCAGGCCCAGGCTGGTTTTAGAGGGTGCATGCGTAGGGGTGCATGCTTAGGGGAGCAAGCCCAGGCTGGTTTTAGGGGGCGCATTGCAAGGGGATGTCCCCAGGGGCTGCAAGCCCAGGCTGTCCGAGGGGGTGCATGCTTAGGGGAGCAAGCCCAGGCTGGTTTTAGGGGGTGCATTGCAAGGTGATGTCCCCAGGGGTGCAAGTCCAGGCTGTCCTGAGCGGGGGGTGCCCAGCTGTCCTGGTGCAGGAGCGTGGGTGGCCCAGACAGCRCTGGCTGGAGGGATGTCCCCAACGTGGGGGTGCCGGTGCCCCATGGGGCTGCCGCTGAGCRTGCCCCGTGGCAGGCGGTGATGGGGGTGCAGGTGGTGCTGAGCCTGCTGGCCGCGAGCGTCATGCAGAAGCTGGCCCCGCACTGCTCCTTCGCGCGCTGGCTGCTCTGCAACGGCAGGTACGTGTCCCCYGCCGCGTCCCCGCGGCCGCCACCAGCCCGGCCCTGCGGCTGCTTCCCCAGCGCTGAGGCGGCCGCGCTCCCCGCAGCCTGCACCGCTACAAGCACCCGTCGGACGAGGAGCTCTGCGCCCTGGCGGGCAAGCAGCGGCCCAAGGGCAAGCGCGACAGGTCAGCACGGGCCCCCGGGGGAGCAGGGCGAGCTCCCGGCTGCACCGAGCGCGCGCTGAGTGTGCACCGAG